CAAAAATTTTACAGAAGTACTAAAGCTGGTGTTAAAAATTAATTAAAAGAGAAGAAAAAACGATGAGATTTTTGCATCCACTAATTCAACGTCTAAGTGTTACAAAGCAAAAAAAGTAGTCTATTCCAAATATTTATAACAGTTTTTTCCTTTAATTATTATTTTTTTTCATTTAACTTTTTGGGAAAGAATACTTAGCAAATTTTAACATTCAGATAAACCAGAAAATGTTACTAGATAAAAGGTATTCAGATAGAAAAGAAGAAAAAGTGCAATAGTCAAACAGTGTTGATTATTTTGCAACAGAACTGTGATTGTGGATTTAATTAAGCCAAAAAAAAGAAACCCAACTATACGGTTATTTTACAGTTCAATCGGCATAGAATAATTAAAAGTAAACCAAATAGATGATAATAATAATAACAACAACAACAACAACAATTTTATGAATAAATAAGGTATAAGAAGCAAAAAAAAGGAAATGCTGCTCATGAAAAAAATTCGTCGAATAATTATCACTTAAATGAATGAAAACGACAGTGTTTTTCTGTCCTGGCAAACTGCCAACCGCTTAAAACAAGCGTTTCAATTTTTGCCTAATAGCTGTAAACTAAAAAAAAATGGCGCTTTAGTCTCGCTGTGACACTGTTCTACCAGTTGACCGGCGGCTTCGCAAATTTTCGGTCCTACAGTTACAACTGTTGTTATCAGCAGAAGTTGGTGTTAAAACAGAAGTGATAATACCTGTATATGTAGAAACTGTTGTGTAAAGAAACATTTAACGTTGGCATAATCTTTATATCTATTTTTATTTTTATTTTTTGCTTTATTTTTCGCTCTACGTATAAAACGCTCATAAGTTTGGTAAGTACTTTTTTCCTCCCTTGTTAACACTTTTGTTCATTATTTTTGTTGACATAAATTTATTTGTTTAATTTTATTTATTTATTTTTTTCTTTTGTAATTACTGTTTAAAGAAACAAGCCAAACGTTGTACCGACTGTAAATAAAATTGAAACATTTTTCAAAAAATGCTCTACCTTGCTGAACATATTCGAACTAAAAAAAATAACTCATTTGAGAAAACCGTGTTTAGCGGTTATTACAGTGTTGTTCAGTTAAGATTTGATTTTAAATGCTGTCTGTATTTTGAGGTTATCTTTTACGCTATTTGCGAAATTTAGTCACCATTCAAATTGGTGAAGATTTTGATAAAGAATGACAGATTTTTAAATTAAACTTTAAATAGTTAAGGCGAAATTTTAATTTTCTAATAAATCGAATTATATAACTGATTTCAGATGTCAAACCATGTTTATACGATCGCCTCTAAAATTATGCTGTACAGTTTCTAAAGCAATAGTCTGGCGAGAATTAATTTTTCGGATATCTGCAACTTTAGGATCTACAGTACCCCGGCCAAAACAGGCTGCAGAAGAAACTTCCGTTTTTTCATCAGCTTATCTTGTGAAGAAAGCTCCGTTGTCATGGCAGCCATATTTGAAACTAATGCGTGTTGATAAGCCTACAGGTAATAATTGTATCATTAGCTTCAAAATGTTCAAATTGTTTATCGCTTGTTCTTTTTTAACGAATAAAACGTGAGTTTTGCTATGGTTCAATTTTTAAAAGTTTTTAAATTTCAGCGTTTGTTAGATGTAATCATCCTTTAACGCAATTAAAATGCTGTATCTACTAGATCCTGTCGTTCTTCTTATCTGGCTTTTATTGTCTGTCTTGTTAGTCTAAAATTTTAACTGAGCCTTGCAGGCACGTGGTTACTGTTCTGGCCATGTGCGTGGTCTATTGGATTAGCAGCACCGGCTGGTGCATGGCCAAATCTTCAAGTTTTGGCACTTTTTGGCGCTGGATCGTTTCTTATGCGTGCAGGAGGATGCGTGATAAATGATATACTTGATCAGAAACAGGATAAAATGGTTGTGCTTTTATTCACAACTTTAGTACTTGATTATGGGGATGAATTTCATCAGTTTTTTTTTTAAAATAAATGGCAGAACTCGAGCCAATAAAGGATGAATTTATCAAATAAGCTGCCTTTTTACTTTTGTCATTTTGATAATTATTTAAGGTAGAAAGGACAAGAAATAGACCTTTACCTAGTGGGCAACTTACAAACAAGGATGCAGTTATCACATTAGGTTTTCTTCTCTCCGGTTCTCTTGCAGTTCTTCTGCAGTTCAATTGGTTCAGGTACTTTTCGTTCGTTGTGTTTCTTGAGTTTCCACCTAAATTTCTGCAGTTTTGTTTTGCGTAGATAACTACGATCTACAAAAATTGTGAGTAACTACATTGTCTTTTCTGACGAAGTTCAGCCCTTGTACTTCCTAATTTTTGTATAAAAAATATTTTGTTTAAAGAATACGAAACAGGAAAGATACAAGAAAGTTAGTCAGACGTTAACGCAGTATTTCATTTGCAGTGTGGCGGTTGGAGCGTCGTCTTTGATATTTGCTTTATTGTACCCTTTCGCAAAAAGATGGACGTACTGGCCTCAAGTCGTTTTAGGTATCTCTTATCATTTTAATCAGACGAGTTTGCAAACGTTCGAGGACGTTTAGGTACAATCGTTTTGGGGTTACTCTTTTCAGTAATGGGTTTTTAAAGTAGGTGTTAATTAACAAATACTTTAACTTGGTAACACTATGGAATTTGCTTTTTCTTCTTGACTTATTTATGCAAAATGATGATGTCATAAAAAATTGTCAACCACTGTTTTTCCTAGTATTCAAATACATTATTGAAAATAGCACTTAAAAACTTGCTTTCGGCTCTATAAATGTGTTAATTCTACGGACACTCGTAAAATACATCGGAAAAGGTGGGAGCACTACCAAAGTTTTTCAGGAATAACCTTAAATTACGGTGTTTTGATCTCGTGGGCTCATTTGCTTCCAAATAATTTTCTGCAAGTCACACCCTTATTTGTTGCTACTGTAATACATACTATTATTTACGATTCTATTTACAGTCACCAGGTATATCGTGGTCCGTTTCGGGATTTTGATGCTTTGAAGTTTTTTTAAAGATACTCGTTACTGCTTTGACATTTTTTTCTTACCTTATTTACTGTTTTTCTTAACTTCTAAATGCTAACTGCTTTTAAATTTTACTTTTTAAGTGTCTATTAAATAAATACTGTTATGAAGGCAGTGGCACCCTGGGGATGTGTGAAGGTGTTTAATGGGTCTAGTTTTTTTATACTTTCACCAATCTTGTTTTTGCTTCGGCTTAATAATTTTATGTTATCTGCCAAAAACTAACTTTTAAATGTTGGTCTAACCAGCTAACATTCAAATAGACAAATATTAAGTGACTAGCTTTAATCCGACTTTGCCATCACGTGCAGGTTTTGCTTTCAACTACGGTGTGATCCTCGGTTGGGCGGCAATTAAAAACAGCTTTGATTTGGTAATTATGCCTTTTTATATTGGTCTCATCGCTTGGACCGTGGTTTATGACACTATATACGCGCTTCAGGTCAACAAATTCATTGGCAGTGTTTTTGATTGATTTTGAAACTAACAGCCTAAAAGTTTAGTTTTAGCAAGAAGTCTGGCCTGCTCACATCTTGCCACTAACCCAGTTATGCACAAATTGCTACATGAATGAAATAACGCTTGGTTCTCTCCTTTCATATATGCCTTTTTGATAGTTTACACCAAACTTGGGTTTTTTACAACTTATAACTTGTCTAATCGAAGGTATATTGCTTTAGGACAAGATAGATGATGTTATTGCTGGCGTCAAATCAACTGCGCTTTTATGGGGAGATCAAACAAAGTATTGGCTAACAGGTTTTGCTTCACTCGCAACTGGCCTACTTTGTGTCAGTGGCATTATTACTCACCAAACCTGGCCTTATTATCTGGGGTTAGCTGGAACCGCAGCGCATCTAGGCTGGCAAATTGGAACGCTAAAGATTGATGAGCCCGCAGACTGCTGGAGTAAATTCAAAAGTAACCAGGTTTGCATTAAAAACTAATATTTTATTCATCATGCGTACTTTACAGTGAAGTAATTGTTGTAATTTGCGAATTCCGTTGGACAAAGTATATAACTTATTTTCTTGAAATCTCATATAAAACCGAACCTCCCAGGAAATTTGTTGGAGACGGCAATAAAGAGTACTACGTAATAGGAAGAGTACTGTCCCAAGCAGAAATTTAACAGTCCGAATTTTTGCAGAAATCCGCGTGATATCCTTTATCCGGTAGTCCGGTTATATCATAGTGCTCAGTGAAGCATTCCGAGGCTACTTCAACATTAGCATTTGCTTTCTCCAACTAAACTTCCTGGCTCAAGTTCCACACTAAATGATATTTTACATAGTCATAATTCATTTTATCTCACTTGGTTGCTCATTTGCAGTGGATGGGAGCAATACTGTTCATTGGCATAGTTTGTGGGAACCTACTGAAAACTAAGGACACAGTACAGGAAGAGTGTAGCACCGAAGAAGCACAAATGGAGGACACATTTGAAGCCATAGAAAGCTAATGCCTATTGTGCCACGTAAAATACTTGTCTGTTTCAATCAGGGCTATGTCATGATCTTCTGAACTTAATCTTCTGTTGAGTGCTTTCTCAGAAATACTTCCACAGAATGGCACAATATAGATTCTGCCTGACTGATCTCCATTCTATTCGAAAACAAATTTTTTCTCCCGCTAGTAAATTCGATCTTCTAATCTTTCTTCCCAAGAAAACAATTTATTAGAAAGCTTATTGTGTTTTACAACATGTTCCGCACTTGGCATGCAATTCGTGCTCACTACTCAGAACGTCATCTCACGAGAAGAGACAAAGTGCTAACGAGCTAGAGGCAAAAGTTTATTCCTTTTGAAGTCTTCCAACCGGTGAGTGTATATCTGTCACTGTCTTGAAAATACTATGATGGCGATGCTTACGTCATCGCTGGAAGTTGTTTTTGTTTCATACAAAGACGAGCAATCAAGCCGGACAATTGAAGAAGCGTTGAAAGTCCTTCCACAACTCGGATATGACACAATCCAATTTCCTGAACATTACAGTCCCTTTGTTATATTTAAAAAGACAACGGTAGAAAGAGCCTTGAAAAAAACTTCTTGTGCTTTAACTTTGCAAAGTCGATAATGAAAAGGGAACCTTAATATATTCCATCTTGAGGTACTCAGGTACATCAGCGACCTTGCACATCCTGAACATGTTCGTGAGGATATCTTCTGGTGCATAACCCATCCGATAAAGGTTGTGGATAATACTTCCTGCTTCAAAAATCTTTTCCTTCACACACAGTTCAATCATTTGCTTGATCATTTCTGGGTGTGGTTCATCACAAACCTGTTCCAAAAAGCAGCACATTAACACGTGATTCTTCTATTTAGCTTTACTGTAGTCAGCACTTGAATGTTTTTAAAAACAGAGCTAAGTGTTCCGTAGCCACAATAGTAAGACACCTTAAAAACATTCTCGGCAACCACTCGTTTGAAGCCGGAGACAGTACACTGCAAATTATTCAACGCCTGTAAATGTAATCAGCGGTAAATAATGAGTTAAAAATAGCAACTGCAGCAATTTTTGTCAGGAAACCTGATAAATAATTTGTAAGGTATCTAGTAAAAAGAAAAATAATGAATAGTTCTAAGATAACTCCTGAATAACACTGGAAACTCATGTTTTTACATTCACCGGACCTCCATCCAATCTATCCAGTAAAAAATATAAACTGATATTGCCTTGGTCTGAACACAGCACCAATATTTTTTAAGACCAACAAAAAGCAATTACTTATCAGCAGAAACAAAATTTAATTTCTTTTCAAAGTGCCTGAAACTACAAAACGCTAGACCTATATAAGAAAAAAAGAATCCCTGCCTAATATCTAGAGGGACGGTTGGAACTGTGAACGTATTTTTGAATTTCTAATTGCATGGATCGTTTTGAAGCCATAGCAGTTCCAAAAACCTTTCTATATAAGAATCTATACCTGACGCATATCCCCCTGAGCTGTAAAAACAATAGCTTCAAGCCCATTATCGTCATACTCCACTTTCTCCGCTTCACAAACAGTTAAAAGTCTCTTGGCAATATCTTCGTCTTCAAGCCTTGTGTATCGGATAAGGGCACAGCGAGACTGTATGGGTTCTAAAGAAACAATGAAAAGAACTGTAATTTTACCAAATTTTTTTTCCAGAGAACGAACCTATCACATTACTCATTCTCAAAGAGGAAATAAGATGCCCGCTAGAACTCATTTTCCAGAGCATAAAAGAAACCATTCCCTTGTGCACCGTCAACACTTAAATCTCTCTTTGTCGAATACGTTAAATCTTAAAATAAAAAATACAACTCACAATTTCTAAAGTTTGAATTTGAGGAAATTCAAAAAACAAATCCGAAGATACTTACTGATTACCATTAGTCTATTATACTTACCAATAATTTTTTCTGACTGGTTGCACGCCAAAGCAAAACGAGTGGTGCGACTGTACACTTCCATTGTTCTCCTGAGAGCTTGCTGTGCACCCTCAGTCATCGAATCTGCTTCATCCAAGATAATGATTTTATGCCTGCCTTCTGGTAATCCTACTTTCGTTTGTGCAAATGTCTTTATTTTGTTGCGAACAACGTCAATCCCTCTAAAACTTAACTTCATTCACAAAATATCAAACGTCAGCTTACTGCCTTCAGCAAAACTCGAGTTGTTATATCATTCCAAAAATTTACTGGTATTCCATCGATACGGACCACGGAATCAGATATATCTAACTGGAAAATCGCATGTGCATTATTATCCGCTGACGCCTACTAACGCACGCATTTTCCAAAGTTTGAATCAATTTTCAACCATTCTCTTAAGAAATAAAAGCGCGGAAATATACAAATTATTCGCCATCTTATTAAAGGTACTGTTCTATAACAACCACAGTTAAACAGTCTGAAGGTTGGAAGTAAAAGCTAGACTTTTTTTAAAGATCAGTTACTAAAGATGGACGAGACAAGCTGAAATGAAACTAAAGTACGACAGCTGCATAATGAACGCACTAAATTTTTGGTAGGTATTAAAAATCTGCAGAACAATTATCGGAATAAATAAAAAATTATTCTCAATTTCAGTGAAACGCAAGATCAGATATAAGCGCTCAAACAAAAAAGAAATTATTATGAATAAAAATCTACCACTCGCCAAATTTTAATTCTTACAAAAACTAAATTTGTCGTGAACCATCTTAAAAAGCAATAAGAAAAGTAAACCATATAAAGGTAATTTTTTCAAAAATAAGGGACTTTCAATAGAACATGTGCCAGAAAAGGATCAAAAATTCCTGTTATCGCACTCATTGTCAAGCTCAAAAAGTTCCTGTTTGCAAGCCGCAGCAGTCAAGTTCCATGTTCTCCAACAACATCATTCTCTATGATCTACCCCAACCGATGAACATTTTTCAAGGCTTTCTGAGCTTCCAAGATGGGGTTTTTCGGAGTCGCTACCAATCAGGCAGAATTAACTTGAACAGTTCTACACCTGTCCAGAATTGAATCTTAACTACGTATCTTGTAACGTAATACGATCATGAACAACAAAGTCAGGTGACTTTGACAATATACCAGGAACTTAGGTATCAATACACGTCTATAAAGAAAAGATGAGAAATGAGAAGCATTAGAAGCTAAAAGCTTTATCATTTACAGCTTTCTAAAACTACCAACTATCTATTCCTCAGGTAGAAAAACTTTTTACCTATCATCGGATGCATTGAGTTCTAAGCACGCTACGTTCACTTTTGATCCGAGCATTTCTCTAGCCATTGCCCAAATACTTGTAGTTTTCCCACATCCTGGAGGTCCCTAAAAAATTAGAAAGGCTTCTGTAGAGCATAACGTCGCAAGCACACACCCTGTCAACCTTGTCACGTTTCACAAAAGAGAAAGAATTACAAGTACCCAACTGCAGATATTTATTTCATTAACACTGCATATTAAATATTTTTGATAATGATCCGCTGCAACACCTTCAGTCATCTTAAATGTATGTCAGAGACGCTTAAAATTTGCTTACCGAAATAATTATGTTTGGAATGTTTCCCTGCGCAGCAAAAACTTTTAATCTTTGAATGGTAGTTTCATTACCAACAATATCGTCCAATTTTAAAGGCCTATACTTTTCCACCCTGCAAAAGGTAATTAGAAACGTTAAACAAGTAATCTAAAAATTAAGCCTTTGCTAGGGTTGGTGTACGGTACAAAGTACGGTACAGTTTGTACCATCTGGTAGATATTTTAACAATAGAAAAAAATCTTTAAAAACTCTTTTAATACTTTTATTTGGTATGTTTAGAGTTTACAGTTTCAAACATACCACGGGGTGCCATCCATTTCGATTCCCTGCACTATTCTGCAACTCTTACATTCGTTAATCGGGTTTAGGGTTCGCTCTTCTAAAGGAAAAAGGCAGCTTTCAACGGACTTATCTGAATGTCCAACGAAAAAATAAACTACTTCCGAAAAGAAGAGAAGAAAAAAGGAATATCGTTTTGGTACTGCTTAAGAGTTTCAAATACGAGCAGCAAAAGTCTACTTTCATGAAAGCTAATAAACAAACAAAGAAAGCAACAATTATTACGACTAAATTAAACGAAAAACATTTCTGTTGGCAATCTATAGAATCGAATAGCATCAAGATATCTTATCAAATAAAATTAACTTCCAGAATCACAATAACCAAAGTTCTAGCCGGAAATATATTTGCTCAACCAATAAACCAACCCGTTATGTTTAACCGAATATTCCGAATGTTAATAATCTTTCATTATTATTCCGTATTATTACATAAGTCCGGACCAAAGATTTCCCGCTTTGAAAAATTATTGCTAAGATTTAATGATTGCGAATAGCAGCTCAATATATACAGTTTAATTATTGTCTTTTGAATTAAGGTTTTTGCAGGTTTTAATCACTTTTTTTTCATTTTTGCTAAATCAGCAGCTGGTCGAATCGATGTGTAGTCCAGAATCCAATTGTTTGTATGGCTGCTTTATCCGTGATCTTCCACTCTTTTGCTAACCAATAGTCGTATTTACTACACCTCTATAGTTTCGTTTTTCCTACTTTGTTATCAGTTTTTTTAATCATTATAATGCTTTTATAATATCGTCACTCATCCGTTAATAAGTTTCCGATAAACATATGAGTTTCTAATTTGTCGGTAATATATTAACAGTAATGAAATTAGCTGTAAAACAAAAGAATGTGGTGTAAAAGAGACTTAAGTGGATAAGTACAAACCTGTGTTTTTTTGACTTTATTTTTTTCTTTCTCTGCGATAAGGTGTACATTTACATAAAAGAAGGAGTTGTTAAGTTTGCCATATGCATTGAGTTGGTTCCTTAACTAAAACTGAGATAAAAACTTTCTTTTGCAGTCATCCTTTACCTAATTTTATTTGTTCAGTGCTGATTAACTGTAACAGTTTATAAGTTCAAGTGTCTATATACTTTTATTATTATGTTTATATGTAAAATTGGTTCTACTGAGCAGTTGTAAAGCACCATAAGAAATATAGAGCTCTGTGATAGTTGGCTATCCCGGCAAATAAAAAAAATAATTTGTTTGTTTATACACTTATTGTTCGTTTGTCTCATCAACTTCTTGATTTCTGCAGTAAAAAAGTTTTTTGAAGTATTGTCTATACTACTTTTTAAACCCGAGTTTTCCAACCATCAGTTTTCAGTCTTTTTTTTTTCTCGCTGTCTACCGTGAAGAAAAAAGTTTTTTTTTTTTTTGTTTATTTTTTTGTTAGAAGAGAGAACAAACGGGTATGCGAGAAAAGGAGTTGTCATTTAATATATCGAAGTTGAATGTTTTTTTTCTCGCAAAAAAAAAAAAAAAAATATTTGTCGTGGTGCATTGGCAACTAAATTTGTTCTCCCAATAAATGAACTTGAAAAAAAAAGCGAAATAACGTAACACACCACCACTAATCTGCTATTTTTCTTTTCCCTCTTTTTTTTTTTTTTTTTTTTTTT